GGACCAGACAATGTGACTTCACCAGGAGACCCAGCCAAAAGAGGATTGTATAGTCTCTCTGGAATGAAAAGATCATCAGCTTTATCTTTAAGGTCTATCCCTTCTGCAGAAGGTAATTTTTGAATGATCCATTGCTTTACTGTCAATAGGTTATTTAATGGTTTGTGTGTATCTATTTCAACATTGCAAATCGAGAAATATTTACATAATATCGGGACCTTGGTCAGCAAGATGGGTGGCATATAAATTTAATAAATGAATAAATAAACATAAAATTGGGAATAGTTGCTCGCTATGCTTAAAGGCAAAAATGCATGTAATATTGAGTTTTTGCTAACTGGGATTACAAATCATATGTGAAACAAAGGGTTTTTATTAAAAACGAAATAAACGCAGTATTTGTGGTTATAGTATATGGGAGCTATTTCAGAAATCATTATAGACATTAATGAAAAGCTATATAAGATTTCAATTTTGATTGTCATATTATTATTTTATTAAGTTTTAATGTTGTTTCATACTTGTGGTTATAGTTTTTCTTTCATTTATTTTTGTATATCCCCCACCCCCAGATTACATGGTATGAAATGGACAGCCATATAAAAGCTTAAATAAGCCAACATAGGAAGGCATCCATAAGAAGACCTTAAGGTGTTGTTGAAATGATGATGATGATAAAGTTGGAAGGGACCTTAAAGGTCATCTAGTCCAACCCCCTGCTCAGGCAGGAAACTCTATACCATTTCAGACAAATGGTTATCCAGTCTCTTCTTAAAAACTTCCAGTGTTGGAGCATTCACAGTTCTGGGGGCAGGTTGTTCCACTGATTAATTGTTCCAACTGTCAGGAAATTTCTCCTTAGTTCTAGGTTGCTTCTCTCTTTGGTTAGTTTCCATCCGTTGATTCTTGTCCTACCTTCAGATGCTTTGGAGAATAGCCTGACTACCTCTTCTTTGTAGCAACTGCTGAGATATTGGAACACTGCTATCATGTCACCCGTAGTCCTTCTCTTCATTAAACTAGACATACCCAATTCCAGCAACCGTTCCTTATATGTTTTAGCCTCCAGTCCCCTAATCATCTTTGTTGCTCTTCTCTGTACTCTTTCTAGAGTCTTAACTTTTACATCGTGGTGACCAAAACTGGATGCAGTATTTCAAGTGTAGCCTTACCAAGGCGTTATAAAGGGGGTATTAACACTTCACGTGATCTTGATTCTATCCCTCTGTTAATGCAGCCTAGCACTGTGTTGCCTTTTTTGGCAGCTGCAGCACACTGCTGGCTCATATTTAAATGATTGTCCACTAGGACTCCAAGATCCCTCATAGTTACTACTATTGAGCAAAGTACTACTATACTATACCTGTGCCTTTGGTTTTTCTTGCCTAAATGTAGAACCTTATTTTTTTCACCATTGAATTTCATTTTGTTAGATAGCGCCCAATGTTCAAGTCTGTCAAGATTCTTTTGTATCTTAAGCCTATCTTCTAGAGTGTTGGCTATTCCTGCCAGCTTGGTGTCATTTGCAAATTTGATGAGTTCCCCACCTATCCCCTCATCCAAATTGTTGATGAAGATGTTGAAGAGCACTGGGCCCAGAACAGAGCCCTGGGGCACCCCACTACACACATCCCTCCATGAAGATGCAATTCCATTGAGGATCACATGCTGAGTACGGCCGGTCAGCCAGCTACAAATCCATCTGGTGGTGATGCTGTCTAACCCACATTTTTCTATCTTATCAAGTAGTAGATTGTGATCTACTTTATCAAATGCCTTACTGAAGTCCAAGTAAATTATATCCACAACATTTCTCTGGTCCACTAATTTTGTCACTTGGTCAAAGAAAGCAATAATATTTATCTGGCGTGATCTGTTTTTGACAAACCCATGTTGGCTTTTGGTAATGACTTCGTTTGCCTCTAGGTGTTCACTAATTCATTGATTATCTTTTCCAGAATCTTCCCAGGTATTGAGGTTAGGCTGATAGGTCTATAGTTTCCTGGATCCATTTTTTTTTCCTTTTTTGAAGATGGGAACTACATCAGCTCTTTTCCAGTCCTCTGGTAGTTCCCCAGTGCTCCAGGATCTTTGGAAAATATAGTTCAGTGGTTCTGAGATCACATCTGCCAGTTCCTTCAGAACCTTGGAGTGTAATCCATCTGGTCCTGGTGATTTGAATTTTGTCTAGGGTGGACAGGTGCTCACTTATCATTTTTTTTGCCTATCTTAACTTGAGTTTCTAATCTGTTTTTTACGGTACTGTTTTTGATAGGTTGGACTGTTTTTTTCCTTTTGTGTAAAGACGAATGCAAAAAACGAGTTAAATAGTTCTGCTTTCTCCCTGTTGGTTGTCATCTTCTTTCCACTTTCCCCCACTAATGGACCAATCATTTCCTTAACTTTTTCTTGTTTTTATATGTTGAAAGAAGCTTTTTTTTTTGTTATTTTTGACTGTTGTTGCAAGCCTTAGTTCATTTTGAGCCTTAGCTTTCCTCACTTCATCTTTGCAGGCTCGGGCTATTTGCTGATATTCTGCCTTAGTTATGTGCCCTTCTTTCCTTGTCCTTTTTATCTTTCAATTTATCAGAGAGTTCTTTATGCAGCCATGCTGGTTTCTTTTGAGAGCTGTTATTTTTCTTCTTCGTTGGTATTGTGCTAGACTGGGCTTTTATAATCTCACTTCTTGAGTTGTTTTCCCCTTGAGGATTCTCATCCATGGAATCCTTCCCAAGCTCTCTCTAAGTTTATTGAAATTAGCTCTCTTAAAGTCCAAGACTCTAGTTTGACTGTATTCTATTGCTTGTGCTTGCATAACGTTGAATTCCAATATTGCATGATCACTTCCCCCCCCCCTCCAAGGTTCCTATGGCTTCAACACCTTCTATCATTTCATCTCTGTTAGTGAGAATTAGGTCCAATATGGCTGATCCCCTAGTTCCCTTCTCTACTTTTTGGAAGACAATGTTGTCTGCTAGGTTTGTCAAGAATCTGTTTGATCTTCCACTTGGTGCAGAGTTTGTCTCCCAGTTGATGTCAGGGTAATTAAAGTCCCTGACTATTGTGATGTGCTTCCTACATATCTTAGTTAGCTGACTATTTCCTCTGTTTGGTTGGGTGGCCTATAGAATACACCTATGGCAATGTCATTTTTTCCCATTTTATATTGACCCAAATGCATTGAAGACAGTTTTCATCATTGTTGTGCTCTATTTCTGTAGAGATGTAGTTATTTCTTATATAGAGAGCAACTCCACCTCCTCTTTTATTTGGTCTGTTTCTTTTAAATAATTTAAATCCCTCTAGCTGTGTGTTCTATTTGTGGGTTTCATCCCACCAAGTTTCTGTAATGGCAACAATATCGTATCTGCCCTCATTTACGTGAATTTCTAGTTCACCCTGTTTATTGCTCATACTCTGTGTGTTGGTGTATAGATATTTGAGTCCTTTATGACTGATGTCTCACATGTCATGGGATTATCATGCCAATGGTGTAAAAACACTGCAGTTTCTAAACATTTTTGAAGAGGAAAATAGATAATAAAAGAATATTTTAATCAAATAAGAGAAAACAGGAAATCGAACCCAAGAGTCTTTTTAATTCCTTTTCAAGTTATGAGTTCCTTCCAAATTTCAAGGAACAGACTTCAGAAATATTGACCATTCCCTTGTCTTTCAGAAACATTTTTTAATCTCATTTTTTTACTATAATAATAAGTCTCTTCCTTTCATTGACAAATATCAATTTGCTTCATTGTTACACAACATTTTTGGGGTAGTGAACTCCAATAAAGTTTGTTGTTTTACCATGTTTTATAATACATGTGCTCTTATTGCTAATTTCAAATATAGGATTAGGAAAAAAATGCTCTCATGCCTATTTTGCATTTACAATAAGGATTGTGATAAGCTGCAATCGTATATAATAGGATATAACTAAACAAATATTTGGAACTGAATAATAGATAAAAGAAGTGTTCAGCACGACAGCATAACTTTATCTTTCCTTTAAATCAGTTATTCACACATCATGGTCTTTCAGTGAAATAATGAGAATAGAAGAGTCATCCAAAGCGTCAACGAGTATTTTATGTTATTTTATTTTTATTTTATTTTATTATATATGTATATACGTATGTATATATTTCTTCATTCATTTGTTCGTTCATTCATTCATTCGTTCATATCCAAACTTCATTATTTTTGCAAATAACTGAAGGCAGGCAACATATCCAACACACCTTCCTCCAGGTGTAGATAATCCTCAACTTACAACCATTTGTTTAGTGACTGTATGAAGTTAGAACAGCACTTTTAAAAAGTGACTTATGATCGTTTTTACAACCATTGCAGCCTCCGTGTGGTCACATGGTCACAATTCAGACACCTCACAACTTTATTGTATGACGGTTGCAGTACCCCAGTATCCCCATGTGATCACCTTTTACAACCTTCTGACAAGCAAAGTCAATGGGGAAGCCAGAGGCACTTAACAACCGCACCACTAACTTAACAACTGTAGCCATTCACTTAACAACTGAGGCAAGAAAGGTCGTAAAATGGGGTAAAACTCATTTAACAACTGTTTTGCTTAGCAACTGAAATGTTGGGCTCAATTGGGGTCGTAAGTCAAGGGCTACCTGTAGTGAACACCAAACAAGGAGACATTCAAGTTAATTTCATGTAATCATTTGTTATTTAGGTAACAAAAGCTGCAGAGGTTCCTTGCAAAGTTTAGCTTCCTTGGATGCCAAGGAAGTACCAAAGATGCTAGAAAATCCAGAACTGCCTCCAAAAATGTGCAGAAGATTACGATTGGATACAGCGTCGAGCAATGGCTACCAAAGACCAGGGTCTGTGTAAGTTTATTCACATTTTGACTGCGTGAATTTTTACATTGGAAAGAGCTTGGAAATTATTGGTAATCATGAAACTGTTTTCGATATTTCAGGGTAGCAGCAAGAGCCCAACTATTTGAAAGTGGTTGCTCAGTAAAACAGACTCCCTCTGGAAGGTAGGTTTTAATACATTAATTTGTGCCCCTTTGAGTATTAAGTCATACTTTACTTCTATGTTGAGTGTTATGATTTCTTTTGAAATGCAGATGCCATTAATGCTGGAAGAAAATCTGTCCTTAGAATTATTAGTTAGCAGTAACAGAATATTAAGAGTTGAAGAAAATCTAAACGTATTTCAAATTAAACACCCAATTTTAGGTGTGTCCCCAGAGTTTCCTCTCCTTCTTGAGGAAAAAATTGGGGAAACCATGCAATAGATTGCTAGAGATAAGAAGAAACGCTGATTAGAAATGATGCTTCTGAGCATTCCAGAAAATATGGGATGCAGAGATATAGCATAGTTTCTTGGAAGTGTAATAATCCACCAAGGAAACTTATACAGCAACTGAAGAAGAACCGACTGGGTTCCTGTCTTATAAATAGACAGGCAGTCCTTAATTTACAACCTCAATTGGGACTAGTATTTTAATTGTGACAGTCATTAAGTCAAGGCACCCATCTACCCTAACCTGGTTTTATTACCATTTTTAAGTGGTCATTAAGCAAATCACACTCTGAGTCACAACTCTGAATCCATTCTGACAAACGGGGATCTTTTTGCAGGAAACTGGCAAAAAAAATATATTCACAAATCACAGTCACATTACCTCAGGATGCTAAAACCAAGTCATAAATATGAGCTGGTTGCCAAGCATCCAAAATAAGGTCATGGGACCATCAGGGCAATGTGGCATTTTATGATGGCCAGAAATGATTTATAGATCATAAACTGCCTTTTCCAAGGTGGTTGTAATGCTAAACAACTACCTGTAGTCTGTTGCCAGTGGTCTATGTAACAGGCTTGCTTCTGAAGGTGCCAACCACAGTTGTCAGTGAAACATCAATACATCTTGTGTCTAGATTGTGGTCACTAAACCTTGGAGCCCAACAAGGACTGACCAGGAAAGCCTCCACCTATATCACATAACAAGCCCCTTGCTTAGTTTCTTGCATGAAAGGTTGGGTAATTTCCCTAAAATGTGGAAAACTAAATTCCAGTCCAATCCAATAGAGGGTTATGGAGGCAGGCAGAAAGATTTGTCAGCCAGGTTCAAAGAAATCATTAAGTTCATAGAAATGCAAATGCACCCTTCCAGAGTCCCTTTGTGTGTCCTAAAGAGCTTGAGCCCTTGCACAAAAGAAGTGAGATTCCTCCTTAGGAACATACAGCAGTTGGCAATGTTATTTTCACATCCTCTTTTACTAGCAGCTTTATAGCAAAAAAAGGAAGGAAGGCATACAATGAGTTCTTTGCATGGAACATTGGAGCCTTTATGGTGTGAATAGTGAGCATAGATGATTAGCAAGGAGAGTGAAGAGTATTTTGACCAACATGCATGGGAAATAGGAAAGAACTGAGAGATATTTATCTGGAAAAATGGAAGTATTATTTGTTAGCATGGCTTCCCTGGATTATGATATCTCCAGATGTGCAATTCCCAGAATCCTTAGACAGCAGATATGGCCGTTCTGACTGGAAAAACCTGTAATCCATGTGGAGGGGCATCAGATAGTCCTCAGCTTATAACCATAATTGGAAACAGAATTTCCATTGCTAAGCAAGGCAGTTGTTCAATGAGTCACACCAGATTTTATGACCTTTTTTGCTACAGTTTTTAAGCATATCACTGCAAAAACATATCATAGTGAACAATGAGTTTGCTTATCAACTGTGACATTCACTTAACATCCATGGCATTCACTTAATGAACATCACAAAAAAGTTCTCAAAATTAGGTCAATCACATAGGTCAGGATGAGGCAACCTTGGCTCTTTTATGACTCGTGGACTTCAACTCCCAGAATTCCTGAGCCAGCCATGCTGGCTCAGGAATTCTGGGAGTTGAAGTCCACGAGTCATAAAAGAGCCAAGGTTGCCTACCTCTGACATAGGTAATCCTCTTTAAAACTGTCACAACTTAGTAGGACTATGATGGGCAGGTTAATAAGTCAAAGACTACTTGTAATTGGATTTATTTATTTAATTAATTAATTAATTTAATTTATTGGTCGCCCATCTTACCTCAGGGTAACTCTGGGCAGCTGGATCCTACCAATTGTCTGGCCACAACGTTTGGGAGACATTTAGAAGTCAGTCCCACCACATTTTAGAGAGTGCCTTAAAACATTAGTTAACTTCAAAAGGGTCTGTTGGTTTGAAACAGGGGTCTTCAAACTTGACCCTTTTATGACTTGTGGACTTCAATTCCCAGAATTCCTCAGCCAGGCATGCTGAAGTCCACAAGTCATAAAAGGGCCAAGTTTGAAGACCCCTGGTTTGAAGCATTTCATTTACATATGTGTTTCCCATATTGAAGATCCAATATTTTGTTCTACTGGAGTGCTTTTCCATTGATAGATCACCCATTTCTTTTTTGTCTACAATTTTTGTTATTGTTTTCAAGGCAAGCCAAGGCCATGTATTCCTGTAAGGCTGAACACAGTCATGAACTGAGCTTCCCACAGGGGGCAGTATTTTCCAATGGTAAGATGCAATTAGGTTTTACTGTCGTTGTAGCAATAACATTAGCAACTAGCACCTCTGTTCATCCTTAGAGCTTTAAGACTGCTTGTTTTTTCATTAGTGCAACACAATTATTCTTCATCATACTACTTTTTCAAGGATGAGTGATAATGTGAATATGTTACAAACATAATGTGTTGTGCATGTATGTGTGCCTGTGAATATTGTTATTATTTATATTATTATTTATGGTAAACATTAAAGTATGTCTAAGAAAGAAAACCATAATCAATGTAAGTCATGCACTGTCCTTCTTTCTTAACAGTATATCCATCTGTGGAACCCGGATGGCTAAAAGCAACATATGAAGGCAAAACAGGACTTGTTCCAGAAAACTATGTTGTCTTTCTCTAGTGATAGTAATGGACAGCAGTTTCTTCATGGTATCCATGGTAACAAGCAATAAGCACTGTGACTTTTTTTTAATCTGACACAGATATGGAGGGTCTGCCAGCTATCCCCATGTATGGTTGACTCCCTTCCATTTCTGCAACTGCAGATTATGTAGCTTTGTATAAGTAGAACAGAATTTAACGAAAACAGTCGAGAGGATGGGTTTTGTTTTTTCAGTCTGTGTTTTAAAACTGAACATGGTACTTTCTCTGTCTTCCACTGTTGTTAACGAGAAAATCACTTTATTTTTTCCCCCTTTATTTTATGCACAAAATCAAATCACCTGAAAATGAATCCACTTTTTTTTTTTAAATCTGAGTGACTGATTCTCAGTTGGTCCCTTTCATTTCAAGAAAAGCTTGAGCTTGTATTTAAATTGTTAATAAATGTTCACAGATGTCATTGTTTGTAAAAGCAATATAGATAGGGATATAAATTTGTTAATTGAAGCAACACTTCATCAAAGTCATATTTTTGTTTCAAATGGCATTTTAACGCGGTATATATGTGTTTTGGTTTTTCTTCCTTCACTTCTATGTTTTATCCTATAATTATTAATAAATTATATTTATAAAATCTCACTTCCATTCTAATAATATATTGAAATGCCAACTACATAAATAAGCTATTGTTTTTACTTATTATTATGGTATGTTGCACAATCAGCCAAATGTTCAGACTGGATTTGGTATTTTTATCCGCCTATTGAGTCCTTCCCAAGAACATTGGATAGGAAGATGTGGATGTTTGATGATGATATAGGTATTGCCGCAGGATGTCATTGCAATTGACCAGTGGTGATTTTTGTCAATGCCAATGGTGTTCAAATGGTGCTCCAGTTGTTTTGGGATTGCCCCCAAAGAGTCTATTACTATTGATGTTATCTTTGCTTTCTTCTGCCACAGTCGTTCTATTTCTATTTGCTTTGTATTAATTTATTGTCTCCATTTTTTTCTGTTCTATTCTGCTGTCTCCAGGTAGTGCCACATCTACTATCCAGGCCTTTTTTGTGTTTCTTATCGACAATTTGTTAAGTCTGGATGTTATCTGGGAAGTGTTTGTTGGTTTGAATTCTAAAGTCCCAGAGCACTTTAGCTTTTTCATTTTCTATTACTTACTTTTATGGTTCCACCAGTTCTTGCTTGCAGGCAAATGATATTTCTTGCAGATCTTCCAATGCACCATTGTTGCTACTTTGTTATGCTGCTGCTTGTAGTCCAGTGGTTCTCAACCTTTTTAATGCCGTGACCCCAACCGGTCATAAGTCGAGGACTAAACCGGTCATAAGTCGAGGACTAAACCGGTCGTAAGTCGAGGACTACCCAACCGGTCGTAAGTCGAGGACTTTCCCTGCCCGGGAGCGCCGCGCATGCGTGGTTCCGCCCCCTGCACTGGCCGAGGCGTAGCTGGCAAGCGGCAGAGACAGAGCAGGCCGACCACCAGCTGCCCCAGCCCAAGGGAGGTAAGGCACCCGCCGGAAAAGGGAAAACAATGGCGGACAAAAAAAATGGGGGACAGCCTTGCTTGGCGACCCCCGTGAAATGGTCGATCGACCCCAAATGGGGTCCCGACCCACAGGTTGAGAACCACTGTTGTAGTCAGTCTGTGCAATCGTCTTGCAGCAGCTGACCAGGTGATCCACTGTTTCTTCGGCTTTGCACAGGTGGCACTTGCCATCTGTTGCCGTTTTCTCAATTCTATATGCATTTGTTCTTAAGACTTGGTTTTGAGCATTGTTCTTATATATAAAACAATTTCCAGTACTTTAGCTGATGGTTCACATTCATACACCTCGAGTTTTTCCTCAAAGCTTAGGATGTTGTAATGAGCACAATGTTATGCAGATTCAATATTGTTATTGTTGTTGTTGTTGTTGTTGTTGTTATTATTATTATTATTATTATTATTATCTGATATTTTACTTGAGATACCTTAAAATGAAAGACCAAAATTAACTGAGAAATAAATACAAGTAAAAGAACCTGAAGTTCATTTTCAAATTTCAAAAAAGAAATAAGCCAATCAATAATTTTGAATCATTACACTGGCTTGACACCTGAATCTAATTAAGCTCTTGAATTTTATCCTGTAAGCTTGACAATATTTTGCAAAGTTTAATTTAGATAATATTGGATGCTGAATATAATGTTTCTATATTATTGCTTTCGAAATGTGGTGCTGGAGAAGACTCTTGAAAGTCCCTTGGACTGCGAGGAGATCAAATCAGTCAAACCTAAAGGAAATCAATCCTCACTGTCCTTTGGAAGGACAGATACTGAAGCTGAAGCTCAAATACTTTGACCACCAAATGAGAAAAGAGGAAACATTGAAGAAGACCCTGATGTTGGGAAAGATGGAAGGCAAAGGAGAAGAGGACAGCAGAGGACAAGGTGGTTAGATAGTGTCATCAATGCAATAAACATGAATTTGGGCAAATTCCAGGAGATAGTGGAGGACGGGAGTTTGATGTGCTATGGTCCACGGATTGTGAAGAGTTGGACACACACACACACACACACACATACTCCACTTGTAAGATCATTTTAGGTATGGTATTTCAAATGTAGAAGGAATTGTGGGGCTGTGTGAATTCTTCAGATAAAAAAATTGAAAATAATCTTGAACAAGCAGTAGTGAAAATTCATTACTTGTGATATCAGACTAAAGTTAAACTTCTCTGATTACAGTATTTTGTTGCTGAAATATTTTGCAGACAGTAAAACTGAGTTGGTGCTCCTTTTATGAGATGCCAGGCTGTCATTTATATACATATTATTTATCTAGGTTGAAGTTAACAAGAAATTCAGAGTCATTTTATGACTCCATGTCTTATTGTTCTAGCCCGTTGTATGCATCATTTAGAAAAAAGTGCATACAGAACAAGGAATTTCAAGTGGGGAAAAAAACTATTACAACCCTAGGCTAGAGAACCATGCATATGTTGTCTAAAGCAGAGTAATTCAATTCAAGATGCATAATACAAGGCATAAAAAACCCCACAAATGTCTCTGTCTCCAGTCTTGGTAGTAAAATAACAAAAACAACTGATTAAATTATTTTGTCAGGATGATTCAGGTGATCCACGTTTATGTGAATCTATGCCTTCGAATCAGTTTGTGTGTTTTTCCCTCGAGCTGCAGAAAATGACAAATGGAAATCCATTCAGTGTTTAGTGAAACAGCCACCAATATATTCTAAAGTTCATGAAGGCAAAAACAAGGAAGTTTCTCTTCTAAGATGTAAAAGTAAAGGAGTCCATGCAGATTTTACTCTGCTAGTCATTGCCAACTATAAGGGATGGTGCTCATCTCCATTTCAAGGCCATTGAGCCAATGCTGTCTGAAGACATTTCTGTGGGACCTATTGATCTATTCCCGTTTGCATGCTTTCAGACTGCTAGGTTGGCAGGAGCTGGGGCAGGTAACGGGAGCTCACCCCATCGTGTGGTGCTCGGTCTCGAACTGGGCTGCCGGCTTTACAGCCAACAAGCCAGCATCTTAATCACAAGCCACCACGCTGCCCTTCTTAGAAACATGTTTGTAAATGGTCTTTTTGGAAAAATCAAACCAGCCTAATAATATAAATCCTAAATTCAGAAGGGCATTAATATTAACCCAAGTTAATATCCTTATTATTACATCGATCATGGAAGGGAAATTCAAGAAAATTCCATATGTGGACAGACTATGCCCAGGTGTGTTAGTATTACAAATCAATAGCTCATGTTCTTTATTGTCAACTTTATATGGACACACTATAGTATATCCTTGGTATATGTGGACATACTTTGGTATATTCTTGGTATATCCTAATGAATCATTTCAGGTACTCGTACTTAATTCTGTTTAATACATCTCCCATATAGAAATCAGCTCTCATTTAATATGGCAGATGTTTACAGATTAAAAGCCCCAACAAATTAACAGTGCTGGTGCTTAGGGTAAATATGATGTCCTCTGCTTTTTATTTTTAGTCCTGTTCAATCATCTCTGTTTCTTAGATTTCTATGATATTTTATGATCAAAGCTGAGCAGATCATCCTGACTTTCTAAATTATTTAAAGAATTACTTTATAGTGTAACATATATACCTTATTTTAAGGGCACTTTTCAGCATATGCAACATCAAAAGTTCTTGCAATAACTTAAGGGAAAAGGTTTGTAAAGGGTCTAACAATGCAAGTGCTTAAGGTACATATTTTTAATGTGTCCCACCCTCTGTGATTGTTTTTGTACATCTACTAAGAGGAACTTCTCAGCAGCTTTGGCTAAACCAGCTCAGGCTTGATTGACCCTTGGATGAAAAATCATGGAGAATTACTCTACTATTAGGAAATTGAAGAAACATTAAAAAAATGTGATATGCACTTGTATATTGTTGCCAAGAAAATTGATTGTGTTCATGTAATTACAACTCAACCTCAGTTGAGGGACATCTCTACCTTTCTTTTCTAATATAATGATGCATTGCTCATTTATTTCTAGATGAAAAGAAAATTGCCAAATTACTGTACTAAACCTATCATTCTGTATCTGGAAGAGAGAGAGAAAAAGAGAAGCATGGGATATAAGAAATGAGTTCCCCAATCCCAATTATCTCTTCGACAAGCTGAAGGGTTTTCTTTCTTTTTTTCTTAAAAAAACTAAGCAAAAAAAAACAGGATTGAGATTTAGATTTAGTCATGCTCAGAACAGAGTCATTGAAATCAGTAAGATTTAATTGAATCAGTTGGTCTCCTCTAATCATGAAATGTTCTGGATCCAATCAATGTCTTAGTTTCATTTGTTGATGCCTCATGTGTAATTAACATCTAAGGATAGAGAAGGCAATAAAGGTAGTCCTCAACTTATGACCACAATTGAGACCAACATTTCTGTTGTTGTGAGACAAAACAGAATCTTGATGGGTTGATTTCAACCATTCTAGCCCATATTTTGGCTCACCCGAGACTCTCTGTGACTGGAGCCAAAACAATGTTGTTTTTAAAATCTTACATGATTTAAAATCTATGCTAGTAACAGAAATCCTTATAAAGTATTGTTATGTTTCAGATGTTTTATTACTATAACAGTAGGCATATATAGAGTGCTGTTGAGCAGGGTGAGTTAGATATTTAGAAATCTATATATGCCTTTTTGACTTTGATTATACAGTTAGTCCTCGACTTACAACCACAATTGAGCCCAACATTTCTATCGCTAAGTGAGGCAATTGTTAAGTGAGATTTTCCCCATTTTACAACTTTTCTTGTCACAGTTAAATGAATCACTGCAGTTGATAAATTAGTAACCTGGTTGGTAAGTGAATCTGACTTCCCCATTGACTTTGCTTGTCAGAAAGTCGCTAAAGAGGATCACGTGATCTTGGGACACAGCAAAGGTCATAAATATGAACCAGTTGCCAAGCCTCTGAATGTTGATCACTTGATCATGGGGATGCTGCAAAGGTCATGACTATGAAAAATGATCATAAGTCACATTTTTCAGTGCCGTTGTAACGGTCACTAAATGAAGTCAAAGACTACTGTAATGAACATGTTTCAAGAAAGCA